CACCCTGCTGATGTCAGGGCGCCCTCTCATCAAGTGTCCCGTCGATCCTGAAGGAATCTCTTCACTCACTATGATCCGGCTGCTGTTCCGCTCAACAAATCACCCCAAAGCCTGTGTTCTTTTCTGCCTGTCGTACTCTGGGCATTCAGGAGGGCTCATCCAGGCCGTTCTGTCTAGGGGTCTCTCATGCACAGAGCCAGATGACCCCCCAACCTCACACCCACCCCGGGTGTCTCCTGACTGGGCGTCCTCACAGCCTGGCCGCCAGGTCCCAGGAGGCAGACTTCCATGAGAGCCACGTGGAAGCTAACTCGCTCCGGAAGTCACATTCTGGTCTCACAAGCCCACAGAGATTCAAGGACGGAGCCAGGCTCCACCTGCCGAGGGAAAGAATTTGGGGGCCAGGGCCCCGTGTCCCATCCTCTCCAGTGGGCTTCTCGGGGAGGGTGGGTCTCCCTCCGCTGTGCCCGCCTCCACCCAACATGGGCACAAAAAGGTGCCTGATGGATGCTGACACCAGTGGATCCCAGGATTTCTGCCTCCCAGTGTGGGGCACAGACGTCCCAGATGCTCTTGCTAGCATTTCTGCCAGGCAGAGAGATGGGGCGGGGATGGCGTGCCCTCCAAAAAGGAGCACCTGGGCTGGGAGCACCAAGGAGCAGTGTTCACGAGCCCCGTCCTGGGGAGCCCTGTCTAGTGGGGAACCCTCCCTGCCACGCCAGTACCATGTGTGACAGTATGTACATGTGTGTGCCTGTGTGTACATGAGTGTCTGTGTGTGCATGTGTGTACACATGTGTGCATGTATGTGTGTGTGCACTATATGCTTGATAAAGTCGGGGTGGTCCCAGGAGACACAGAGGTGAGGTCTTCAGTTGGGAAATCTGGGCAGGGCAGAGAACAGCACATCGCAGTGCCCGTGGACTCCCCGGGACCTGAGGACTGGGGGCACGTGGGCCACGTGTCTCAGATGCTGATGCAGGAGTCTCTTGGCATCCAGCCCAGTGAGGCTGGCAGCGCGGCTGGATTTGGTTTCTGCGACCTCAGTAAGAGTCATTTTAATAGATGGTCGGGGACAAGATCCCTCTGGGGAGAGACAGAGAGTGTGAGAGCTGGAAAGGGGCATGGGACCCAAGATGGCTGTTTTACTTCCTTGGCACAAGGTGAGCGTGACAGGGAGGGGACCCTGATGTCTCTGCAAGAGACAGCACAGCCGCTTGTGGGGTTGGGGTCTGCCTGATGGGCTTCAGCCACTGTCAAGTGTCCCTGTGTCCCTGAGCCCCCCACCAGGAAGGTGAGATGAGGAGAGGAGGCAGTCACACCCAGGGTGTTATGAGCAGAGCAAGTGTCCTGCAGCCATTGCTGGGTGAGGTTGTGGACCAGCACCTGCCCCCTCAGGACAGGGCAGAGACGCAGAGCCCAGTGGGGATAGAGGCTCAGGGACAGCACTGGCCCCGAGGGGTGTTCTGTCAGCTTCCAGCTGCACCCAGCATCTAGCCCCTACCAGCAGGACTCAGGTGGCAGGGATATTGGGCATCACAGTGCCCAGTCAGAACCAGCAACTGCTGGGGCTCTCCAGCTAGGGCCCCTCCTGTGCTGGCCTGTGACCCCACATGACCATACGTGGCCTCTGGGCTCAGCCAGGGACCTCAGCCCTGGAAGGCCAGGGCGTCACGGCAGGCCCAGTGTGCCTGGTAGCTGTGTTCCCCTGCCACCTGCAGCAGCCTCCTCACCAGCTTCTCTGAAAGTTAGGAGCATCTTTTGAATTCCAAAGGCCAAAGGGCCACCCTTGCCTTTAATTAAAATGCACGTCGTTTAATTAAAGGCCCCGTAACACATGAAGGGCATCCACTGAAATACGACGCAGGGCGCAGTCATTTCCCGGCTGTTAATTACTAATTAATGAAGCTATTTCAATTAATGGCTTCCCCACCTCGCTCCCCCTGCGACAGGCCCCGTGCTGGGGCGCATCCCACAATGGCGCCAGCAGCCACCTTGCTGAATATTCATGCCCTGACTTCAGTGCTTTGCAATTAAACAGAATAAAGTGAATCCTGGTCCAGAGTGTATCCAATGTCAGACCACCTCTCCTGTCGCAGGAACCAGGGGTGGGGGGGGCCGGGGCTCCACTGCAGACAGTTGGAGGACCATGGCCCATGGTCCTGGGAGGTGCCCCAACGGAGGGTGTCCCCACCCCGGGAGGGGAGGCTCTTTGTGTCTCACCAGCTATGAAGGGTGACCCACCCAGGGGACAGATTAGCAGGAGTCCCCAGGTGACAAGTGGGGACCCCCAGGGCACTGCAGTCTTACAGCTGAAGGACAAAGCCACAAATGGGGGTGGGGCAGGGAGGGCAACCCAGAAATGTGGAGGGGCCATTAACATGCTAATTACGAATATTGAGCGGTCATTAAAGATCTTGCATTAAAGTGAGGACAGAGGAGTGTCACTTATGGTGACTAGGAGGGGATAAGCCTCTATGTGAGTGGGAGATGGGGGGGCCACCTGGGGAGCCTGCATGGGGCTGTGGGGCCTGGGGACAACCTCGCTGGAGCTTGGACCAGGCACAGCCCTGGCACTGGAAGGACATTGGCCAGGAGCAGCCGGAAGCGCGGCCACCCATTCTGGCTCCTACCTGCCCAGGTGGGGGGACAGCACCGCCCCATGAAGACCCCCTCATGCCCTGGGGAGGGGGCAGGAGAGATGGTCCCTGCAGCCCTGCACCATGGCCAGTTGTGACGGAACCCTCCAACCGCAAAGTCTTGGCTGTAGTCCTTTCATTAGAGGTGGAGACAGCAAACCCCACCTGGGGCAGCCCGGAGGCACCCCAGGGCGTGTGTGCTTGAACCCCTCAGGTAGGTGACCCAAGCCTGCCTCACCTGCCAAGGCCCCAGCTGTGTTGGTCACACCTGTGAACAGGGCGGAGCGAGGAAGGCTGGTCAGAGGAGCCTCGTGGTGACCGTCCCATAGCAACCCACCTGGCCAGTGGGGAGGACCCGCGGTGATGACTCGGACCGGGAAGGGGTGGGTGGGAGCGCGTCCCTGCCCTTCTCGTGTTGAGAGTCACCCTCACAGACGCGCGCCCCAGGTCCAGCCCCTGTCCGTGTCCCGCTGCTCTTCGAGGGTGTCCAGCCTCGCGCCTTTCCTCCCCAAGACCCCACTATCACCGCGAGGCTCCCCGAGCCCGGACTGCTCTTCCAACCCGGTCCCTTCCTGCAGAGCTGAGGGGCCGGCGGCTCCCGCGCGCCATCTGGGAGGAGTCGCGGGCAGCTGCGGGGGTGGGAGTGGACACAACCCTGTCGGCCTGCGCCCTCTGTCGGCCAGCTGTGGAGTGACAGCGGCCTTGCCGTCCTGAGGGGACCCCCTCGCTGTGGGTGGTGCAGGCACGCGCAGATTTACACAAAAGCACACACACCGCCCCAGGTGGCCAGAGCCCCCTTCTCCCAGAGTGAAGACACAATCACGGTTTGGGTTTGGTGTTGGGTGAACCAGGCAGGTGGGCCTCCAGACCCAGGCCCCGCCCACAATCAGGGTCCCTGTCGGCTGCTGGGATCCCCCCAGGGCTGTCCATGGGGGTGAGATGTGTCTGAGCCTGACAGCACCGCCCGCGTGGGCCAGGGCCACCCTTCCACCCCCCTTTGCTACAAGCGCACCCCCCCCTTCCCCTAGCAAACATTCCCCCAGGCCCCATGGAGCCCTGTCACAGGGTCCAACATGGGCCTTGGGAAGCGTTTGGGAGACCACACCCACCTCCAGGGTGACATCCTGCACCAGGAATGGTGTTGAGGGGAGGAAGCTGGGTCCCTCTGCTGTACTGGGCCCTGCACCCCCAAACCCCAAACACCAGCCTCCTCTTTCTGTTGGTCCTGAGGAAGTGACAGAAGTGTGACCAGCCTCAGCCCAGGAAGCCTGGGACCACAGTTTGTTTACATGCATGCCTTAGGTTCCCCTTCTGTGCAGGGCCCACCATCCCCTCCTGGGTCCTGCATCCCTCCAGGGGCTCTGGATTCCATGGGAAGGGCCACCTCCTCTCTCATACTCCCCAAGAGTTTACAGTTTGCCATGAGTTAAAACAAAAGTGTTAATCAAACACCCAGGTTCACGGGCGCATAGTCACAAGGTCCAAGAGGTGGAAACAACCCACGTCCTTGGTCAGATGAGCCAACAAGCAAAGCGGGGTCCAGCCACATATTGGGGTGTCACTCAGCCTTAAAAAGGGCTGTGACACAGGCCACACAGAGGGACCTGGAGGATACTGTGCTCAGTGACATATGCCAGACACAAAAGGACAAATCCTGTACAACTCCACTTACATGAGTCTCTAGTCATCAGGTTCATAGAGACAGAAAGTAGACAGTGGTACCAGGGGCTGGGAGGGACAGGGAGTGAGTGTTAAATGGGGACAGTTTCAGTTTGGGACGATGGAAAGTTCTGGCGACAACAGTGGTGACATGCACAACAGTGAGAATGCACATAGTCACAATGGCAGCCCTTCTGTCATGTGTTCTAGGAGCTTCCTGGGCTGAGCTCCCACTTGGACAGCACGGGGAAAGCGGGGGGCAGCCGACACTCTCCCTGCAGCTGCCCATGGAAACCCCGTGGCTGAGCAAACGCCAAGACCTTTGGGAAATGACTATTCCTACTGTGCCTCTATAAACAGGCAAAACCTGCTGCGGCCAGGCTCGCTCTGTAATTATGAATCTCTTTCAGATCAAAAGTGGGGAGACCTCAGGGAAGGTCTGTGCTTACATGGAAATTGTGAGTTGTCCCTGCAGAACACGCCAGGCTGTGTGACTCTAGCCATGGGGGCTGCTTGGCTCTGCGAAGCTCTGATAGCAGTGCCACCCACTCTTATCTGCAGCGGTGCCGGGGCCGCCCAGTGGGAGACTGCACGGCACCGAGTCCATTTCAATGCCACGGCCTGTGACACGTCTGTTCTTGGGGTTTGCCTTTGCCCTGTTTGTAACCCTTTGCCGGTTTCCTCATGAATGAGTTCAACAAATCTTTAACAAGTATTTATTCTTAAAATTTGTGTTAATAAAGTAACAGTCTTTTAAATAGTTTAATAGTCATCATTTAAATAAGGCTTTGTTATGATTGTCCACAATTTTGTAGTTTCTTTTCTCCACACATACATCTTACAAAATCTATTATTAATTCATGAGACGGCTCCTCTATAATAAACAGGGAAAGGTTGTTTGCCTGGTTTCAGGGAGTACCTTGGACAAGAGGGAGTGCCCACACTCCCCTCGCAGCTGGTCACCAGTTGCCAGAGAAGCAGAATGCATTGCTAGTGCCCAGGGATCCACGGGGGTTAGAGGGGGCACCAGGGGCAGGGGGTCCCCAAACCATGGCCAAAGGGCTCGTGCCCATAGCCCACCCATCCAACAGCCTTCATGTAGAGCCGTGGTCCTCCATGAGGACACTGGTGATGTCAGAGATGGTGTTGATGGTCATGGCTGGGGGCGGGGGTCATCAGAAACAAAGCAAAACAGATTTGGGTGCAAATGCAATCTGGCCCCTCAGCGATGCATAGGCGGGCCGATGGTAGGGACACGTCTGACCACATGGAGCAGACCGTGTATGTCTTAAAGCTGCTGCCACTAAAAACACTAACTCCACTCAGCTGACAGTCCCACCGACCCTGAGAGGAGGGCACTGTGCCCAACAACAGAAGCACCTGGGGCCTGAGCGGGCTGCCTGGCGCTGCCCCCGACACATACACACACTCAGCTGAGGCTCACTCTCTCCTCTGTCACACAAGCAACAGGCTCTTAAACCAAGCCCTTTATCCTGCGTCGGCTGGAGCCAGGTCCTCAGGCGACCGTGGGCCCAGGCAGCTAGAGGTCCTCACGGATGGGGCTCAGGTCCACCCGCTGGGCCTTTCCAAACATCAGGAAGGTGCACAGCCCCAGGCTGCTGATGGCGGCCACCAGGTTGAACATGGACGTCCAGGAGCCCGTGGTCTCGATCAGGTAACCACCCAGGCCCACACCCACGACACCTGCGCCGAAGAGAGGGGACAGTCAGGATGAGTGACAGGCAGACCTGGCCCAAGCATCCTGCCAGTTCCCAGGGCAGTGCCAGGGAAAGGAGCTGCGACGGGTGTGCTTGGAGGAGACGCCCAGTGGGGGTCCGAGGGGCAGCAGCCGAATTGGGGTGTTGAAGGGCCAGGGATCTCACAGGCCATCCAGGAAATCGCCCCCCTGCCCTGTCTCTCTGGGGAAGGGGGCAGTGGGAGGGGCTGGGCTGGGGAATCAGCCCTGTCACTGTCATCTGGGCTCTTGGGTTTGACTCACATCTGGGTTACACTCCATCAGGAAGGTGAACACTACAGAAGGCAGCTCTGTTCTCTCCCTGGGCCAGCTCTCCCCTCACCACACACACACACACACACACACACACACACACACACACTGGTCTGACACTGTTGGACCCCCCCCAAAGGGTGCCACACCCCACCCTGCAGGACCGGAGTAGCCAGAGAAGGCAGGAGAGCACAGGAGTGGGGCCGCCAGGAGGCACCCCAGGGCCTGTGTGCTTGAACCCCTCAGGTAGGTGACCCCGGCCCCGCCTCACCTGCCAAGGCCCCAGCTGTGTTGGCCACACCTGTGAACAGGGCAGAGAGAGGAAGGCTGGTCAGAGGGGCCCTGTGGTGACCGTCCCATAGCAACCCACCAAGGAGGAGCCCCTGGGGGCCCAAGGAGGGGGCAAGACAGAGTGAGCAATGCCGGGCTGGGGCAGCTGCTTCCTGGTCACCAGGCGCTGCAGTCCTCACCGAAGAGTACACCAGCGCAGGACGGGGCCAGGTCCTGGATATTAACGGAAATGCCACTGTGGGAAGGAGAGGATGTGGGCCAGTGACCACAAGGCAGCCACCACCCCACTAAACCAGTGGTCAGTCCTCTGAGCACCTGGAGCCCAGAGACCATTCGGGGCACTCAGGACCAGCTCAGCCCCGTCAGGGTGCTAAGCCCCTCCCCTGGCACCATATTTGTTTCTCCAAATGGCCCAGGTCCACGCGCTGATACTCAGACAACCCTTTGATTCCGTGGCTCACTCGTGGGGACCAGCTACGCATCCACCCTCCATGTGCCCCCAGCCAGGTGGTTTCGCCTGAGTGCCCAGGATGTGTGGTATCAGGGTGCCTGAGGGCAGAGGAGGCGGCTCTGGTGGACATGGCGTCCGGCCCTTACCTGTGGTTGAAGGTCTGGAGGCCAATGGAGGCTGATGCAAAGAACACAGACTTGCAAAAGCTCGAGGTTTGACCCAAACACAGGGCAAAAACGCTGGACAAGCCCAGGCCCATCACCTGTGGGGGAGATGATTGGTGCCAGGGCAGCAGCCACACCAGCCAACAGGGGCCCCTTCGTGGGGTAGCCTGGGGTGCACTGAACAAGGGTCAGTTGGGGAAAACCCCTCCTGGGCCAGACCCTGCCCATGGGACATGTGGGACAGGCTCCATGACGAGCCAGCCCTGGAGAGGCCCCATTAGATGTGAGCAAACGCCGGCCCAGGGCTCCGAGGGACGCAGAGAGCCACGTACACAGCTCAGAGAAGGGCCTCAGGTGGGCCACACCGGCCCCCAGCACTACCCAGGACACCATCTACCCGCCATGCTATACAGGCTGCCTTCCAGGTCAGGTGATTTGGGGATATAGCCCTAGGGTCCCAGAAACAAACAGGGTGTCCAGAGCCATTCCACCTCCCTACCTGCATGAACTTCCGCACGGTGATGGTTCTGTAACCTGGACAGAGGGGACAGGACATGTTCCCACTGCCCATTTGCACCCGGAGTGGGCCCCCCGCATGGCTTCAGAGAGGGAGCAGGGGAGGGGAGGGCTGGGCCCCGGGCTCAAGCTGGGCGAGGCGTGTACACACGCGTGTGAGTGTGTATGAGAGCATCTGCAGTGCCAGCGCACTACAGCACCCTGAGGCCAAGATCAGGCGGACGCACGGAAGAAAGGCCACTCGAACGAATACAAATATACTTTCTTAGTGTTTCTCCAAATTTTCTAATTTTCCACAATGAGTGTGTAGTATTGTAACCAAAAAAATTAACCACCACCATTTGAAAACGAGTGGATGTGTGCAGAGTGGGGGCGTGTATTGTCTGTGAGATCGTGGTCCTCGGGGTGGGGGGTGCACTTGAGTCCTAGGCTCCCACCTGACTGTGACCTCTGACCCCACCAGGTGCCCTTTCCACCTCTGAAGAAGATTGAGGGCCATGTCCAGCCCTCGGGGGGTAACTCCAGTCACAGCAGGACTCAGGTCCTCTCACTGTGCCCCAACCCCATCCTTAATGGGAAAACTGAGGCTGGGGAGTGGCTGGCTGAGTCAGGCCGGGAGCCAGGCTCCCACAGGTCCACCTGTGCCAGCTCTGAAGGTCTGGGGGTCCTACTCTCACAGCTTGGTCCTCGGGGGTGTAGCCTCTTCACATTGCTGTAGCTGCACCCCCAAGAGGGGTGCCTCCCTGCTTCCCAAAGTGAGGTGAAGCCTGGGCATGACCCCCAGCCCGTCCCTGTCCCGAGGGCTCACCCTGGCTGATGAGGTGGTCAGAGAGAAACCCGCTGAACAGACTGGCTGGAATCGCTACCAGCCAGGGCACCACGTTGAAGACCCAGCCCTGCAGAGAAGGTGTGGGTGGGGCCTCAGGGGTGGCTCGGGTTGGCTGCAGCCACCTGGGAGAGGATGCCCAGGCAGGCCCACCCATCGCTGCCCATTAAGGCTCTCCTCACCCACAGGCTGGGCCTCCCGGTGTCTGGCCTCCTTAACCCTCAGCCATCCCCACCCTGGCTGAGCCAGGCCCCCAGCACCGTCTCCCTCATGGCTCCCAGAACCATGCCCGGGTAGAGCTGGGGTCATGCCCCCAGCCTGGGAATGTGCATCTCAAGGGTCCTGGGTAGAGCGAGCCAAGCTGATGGGCAGGTGATACCCCTGTTCACATCAGGCCCCTGCCCGGCCCCTCCTCAGGAATGGCCAGCCAGGCCTAAGCCGGGGACTCTGCCCGGAGTCACAGTCCTGGGATAAGCACACCAACACAGTGGGGTGTGGGGCTGTGACTTCCTGACATGCACAGACCGTAGTGTGAGCCCTGAGCATGGGGGAGTCCTCTGGGACCATGGGCCGGAGGGGTGTTAGGGCCACAGAGCTGGAGCGGGCCCAGGGCCCAGCTGGCGCTGCCTCACCCTGCGGGAGCCGGAGCAGCCCACCCACCTTGGAGCCGGGGAACGTCTCCTTAAAGAAAGTCGGCAGCCAGGACAGCAGGATGAAGAAGGAACAGGCTGCCGAGAGCTGGGAGAAGATGGCCGCCCTGCAGGGGGACAGGCACAGGCTTAGGTCCACTGGCCTCGCCCCCAAACCTCAGGGTGGCCAGAGGCCCTGGGAGACCCAGGCGTGCTGGCTCTGTGGTCAGTCCGTGCCAGGGACACACAGGGTTCCCCAGTCGCCCCTGCCCCATATGGCAACCCCGAGGCGTCTGGCTCACCAGACGGAAGGCTTCCGGAAGAGCTGTCTCCAGGGAACCCTGGGGTGCCTGGCCACCGGCAGGCCTTGGGCCAACACGCCCAAGGCCAGGATGAGATCTAGAGGGAGCAAGCGTTGCCACGTGAATGCTGCGGATGGCTGCTCGTCAGAGCTGGTCCTTCCCGCTACGTCTGGGGCCTTTGAGGGTCCGCGTTTGTCTTGAGTTTGAACAAACTTTCTGGACCGTTCCCCATCCCCATCCCTACCCCCGCATCCACCCGGCCCCACTCCGGCCATCTGAAGACACCGCTGCTCCTGCGGGCTGCCTCTGCCTGGCGGTCAGCTCTGCTGTGTGTTTTGGCGCCAGCAGAACTCTCTGCACTGATCATGGCGAAACCACAGCTGGGAGATCAGCATGTTTTATGGGCCAAGCTGCAGCCCCAGGTCCCCCGAGCTGGCGCAGCCCTGAGGACGCCCCGATGTTCCGTGACTGCTGCAGGGCCCCGGGGCTGGGCTGAGCCCCCAGCAGCGTGTTTGCTGCACTCACCCACCCGGCCACGGTTACCTTGTTCACTCAGCAGATACCTGTACACGTAACACACCCACAGCAGGGTGAGGCCGCCGGACAGGTAGAAGACGCTTTGCCAGCCATACCAGTCCAGTAGCAGGGAGCCCACGGCCCCCGTCACCAGCGTCCTGGAACGACAGAGAGGAACATGGCCGTGACCTGGTCTGTGAATCCCAGCTGGTGAGAGCTGAGTCCCTAGGAAACCAGGGGCCCCAGTCCCAGCGTGTTTGTCAAGGACTGCAGCTCTCAGGAGAGACTTCTGGGTGCCACGCAGCCACGGCGGATGCGGGCACAGCCATGTGGCTGCAACATGACTCGGGGACCCTGTGTGGCCTGCATTTCTTGCTTCTGGGCCTTCAGGTGGGCCTACATTGTGGTGTGGATCTTTTTAAACTAAAAAAGAAGAAAATGATCATGAGACTACACTGAAATAAAACCTTCACTCTGTTTTTAGCTCCACCTCTCAGGGAGGGTGAAATTCTAAGAATTCTAAATGCAAAAACAACAGCAATCAGGGCCGGCCGAGTGGCGCGATGGTTAAGAACTCGCTTGGGATGCCAGAGGGCCCCGGTTCGGATCCCACATATGAGGGCCAGTGACACTGCCCTCTACAGCTAAGATGCTGAACAACAGCTCAACCTGGAGCTGGGCTGCCGTGAGTCGCTGGCGACGGCATAGGCTGCAGTCCCTGTGGCAGTGGATTGCCATGGGCTACCGTGTGTAGCCAGCAGCCAGCGTGAGCGGCCAGCAGCCGCAGTGAGCGGCCGTCCAGAAGCCGGCAACTGATCCGCCTCGCCCGGGAAGAGCGCAATGATGGTGCCAACTTGGGCCAGTGAAGCAACATCCTCCACAACTAGATTGAAGAACAAAACGACAGCAACTTGTCTGTTCCCCTTCCCCCAATTCCCCAGCACTGTTCCCATTCCCCCAATTCCCCAATAAAAAAATAAATAAAAAAAAGATTTCTCAAAACATTTAAAAACAAAACAAAACAGCAATCAACCCCCTATCCCCCCTGCTGATCCGATTATCTCAGGACACCCCCCCTGCGTATTGGCTGGCCTGTTCAGGGGCCTCGGCCCCCCCATCTGCCAAGGTTCAGCCAGGAGACCATCAAAAGAGAAAAAGAGAAAAAGAGAAAGCTGGACTGCAGACTGAGGCCAGCGGGCCTGTGGGGGTCACCTTCCTCTCTGAGCCTCCATCTCCTCATCTGTGGGGGGCAGTCTCTCCCTGTGTCTTCCCCTACACACATGGGCCCAGGACGCCCAGGTGAAATGGGGTTTCAGATAAACAAGGAGTCTTTCCTGTGCATGTCCCACAGTGCACTGCGCACCCTGGATTTTATTGGGGCTGCTCCTGGCCCACCACAGGCACCCCTCGCCCCTCTGCATTCTTGCCTAGGCCTAGGAACAGTGAAGTGAGGGCCCTGAGTTTGGGGTCGTGAAGCCCCGTTAGGGCAGCGAGACGTCCTTCCATCGGACCTTTGGGGTGGCACAGGGAGGCGGGCACAGGGTTCTCACATCCAGAAAATGCCCTCTGGGCTGAGCTCAGGCTGTCTCCCCCATCGGAATGACCCTCCCCCCGCAATCCGGCTCCAGCACAGATGAAAGGGAGCTTGATGAAGCGGCCGCTGCCCCAGTCCATGTGCCAGAGCCCCAAAGGCCACGTCACCTGCCGCCAGCACCAGGGTACAGGGCATGCATAAAGGGAAGCACTCTGCAGAGATGGGGAGCCAGCACCCCCAGAGCACAGAACCCGCCAGACCTGCATCACCCTGAGCTGCAGGCGCACCCACGTGGCCTGTCCCCTCCCTGCCCGCCTATGGGGCCCTGCCAAGGGCACACGCTCTGCCTGCCCTGGGCCCCCCAAGGCCGGCACTCACCCAAACTGGGAGCCGGCCCCCACAGTGCTGTAGGTGAAGGCACGCTCGCTCTCCCGAACCTTCTGCGAGAGGAGGCTGGTCAGCGCAGGAAAGTAAACCCCTGGAACAAGCAGAGAACGCAGAGGCTTGCGGGCGCTGGGTCCCCAAGTGGCCAGCGGGTCTTGCGAGGGCAGCCGGTGAGGGGTGAGAGCCCGGCTGAGACGCTCCTGGTCCCATAGATGATCATTCAGGTTTGGGGTGTCCTCCATCTCCACCTCACCCCCAAGGGACCAGCAGCAACACAGTTGAGGGGATGCTCAGCTTGCGTGACAGGCTCGCTTGAGACCATGCCACCAGAACCGCAGCGGGAAGGACTTCTGGGTCCAAGCTGCACTCCTACCACTGGCACACTGGCTTCCGGAGCCATAGCAGCTCTAGAATCCTGGCCCTGCCATGCACGTGCACACACACACACTGATCACACCAGCACGTGCTGTCACACACGCATACACATACATACTGGTCACACGTGCTGTTATTCCAGTACACACCGCCACACCAGCACACGCTGTCACACCAGCACACGCACACATACAGTGCGCACTCAACCGACGAGACCTGTTGGCCCTGTGGAGCCACGCCGCTGGGCCCTGGGTGACGCTGCCCTGTGACTACTCAACATGTCACCACAAGGGGCAAGGGGCCTGGACCTTCCTGCTTATTTCTTCACAACTTCCTGTGAATCCATAATTATTTCAAAATCTAGTTTTAAAACAACTGCATTGGGGACTGTAGTTTTTGCCTGTTACACTGTTTTTCTCCAAAAGCACCCAGTAGGGCTAAGAAGCCTGGGGTTGGGCCAGGATGTGGTCCCTGCCTTCCCATCAGGCCCTGGTCCCTGTGCACCCAGAGTGCCCGACACCCATGGTGACAGCTGCCTGAGGCCTGGTCTGGCTCCCTTAATGGCCACAGACCAGCCGCCCAGAGAACCACCTCTGCCTCATAGGAGGACGGGGAGAAAGCTCGTGCTGAGGGCCACCCAGAGGGGCCCCTTCAGCCAGCCCAGGAACCTTTGTCGCAGGACACAGCACCAGCCACGGGTCACATGGGGAGTGCGTGGGGTGATCCGCAGGAGCCTGTCCACCAGGATCACCTGTGGGCCAGTCAGGAAAGGGGCACAGGCAAATTCTGGGAGACCTGGGGTCCCGGGGGCCATGCCCTGCCCTGGGACCAGAGGGGACAGTCGGGGGTTCTGGAGCAGGTGGGGAGATGCGGTGAGGAAAGGCCCAGACCCCACACACTCAGGTGGCATCTGAGATGCATACTGCCGGATGCCAGGCTGGTGCGGACAAGAGCGCAGCAGGCCGTCTGTTCCCTCGAGGGGGATCTGTGTGCCACCTGCCACTGGCTCACCTGGGCCACCTGGCTCTTTGGGGGTTCTCCAGAAGTCTAACATCCCCAGAGCACGGGGGTAGAGGTGCTGGGAAACCTGGCGTCTCCGACGTGCCCATCAGCCACGAGGCGCTGAAGGTTAGCACACAGCAGCCTGGCTGCCACCTGGGTCCCTGGCGTAGCCTTTCGGCATGGAGGACATGTGACATCAGAACATGCCAGACTATGAAGTGTTTCTAGAAACACAAAGTGCCCAGGTTCCGAGGCACAAATAGGCCGGCCCAGAGACGAGCAGCGAAAGCTGGCAGCCGGCAGTGGGGACCGTTCTCCTGCTACCCTGCCCAGGACAAGCTGCCCACCCGCCAGGTTGGAGGATCCTGGGACCCTCTCAGTGACAGCGCTGAGGCATTCCGACGCCTGCTCTGATTTAAGGCATGCCACACACAGAGCACACACATATGTGCCAGTGCCCCCGGCGCATGAACACACGCGCGTTCGCACGCGCACACATGGATGCTGATGTGCCCGGGGCAGAGGGTCGAACACCGGCAGCAGTGCCTCTACCTTGGAGCAAGCCTGTGAGGATGCGTGAGAAGGTCATGAAGACCAGCTGGGCACTGCCCAGGTGGGCAAGCAGCGGGGTGGCAGCGGTGATGAAACCCCAGGCGGAGGCTGACAGCAGGATGACCTTCTCACCCCCGATCCTGGAGGGGTGACAAGGGGACGAAATGGTGATGCGAGATGAGTAGCCAGAGCAGAAGATCCTGCCATGGAGAAACCTGGCCGGGGGCTGGCCACCCTTCCTTGCTCAGCCCTCTGGGGTGGCCCTGCTGCCATGTCCCCCTCTGCAGGAGAGGCTGAGGGTGAGAGTGCAGGGTCCAGCTTGGTCCCTCTCCCCACAAGCCCCCAGAGCCCTGAGTGGGACCCCCATCCCTACCCGCCAGCGTGGACCTCGGGTCTCCCAGCTCCCTCCTCCTGGGCAGGGCCTCTCCCCACTAAGTTCCCAGGCGCTGCCTCCCCCCCCAGCAGCCCCTGCCCGCTCAGCCAGGGGAGGGGGCGGTTACCGGTCCCCCAGATGGCCGCCCACGACCTGCGTCAGGCAGTAGCCCCAGAAGAAGCTGCTGAGCACGATGCCCGCCTCCTTTTTGTTCCAGCCGAAGTCCTGGCTCATGGAGACGGTGCAGACGGGCATGCTGACGCGGGCACAGTACAGCAGGCACGTGCCCAGCAGCAGCGTCCCCGTCCACGCCTGGCACTCGGGCCTGCGGGAGACAAGGCCAGGGTGAGGCGGACACCTCCACTCAGGCGTCTACACGGCCCCCTGTCGACCCACAGAAGAACACGGCAGACCCTAGAACAGTCGCTCCTGACAGCAGAGGCTGGGAGCAGGCGCCAGCGGGCTTGGGGCGGGTTCAAGAACCACGGTGGGTTTGCTGCTCTCCAGGACCCGCAGCCAGGGACCGAGGGCCGGGAGGCAGCCAGGCAGGGCTAACAGCTAGTGACCCGCTGACGGGTGGGTGGCAGGCTGGGCAAGAGGAACCCCACTGAGGCAGAGGGGAAGGACCACCCTCACGGTAGGAGGGGGGCAGTGGGCCCCTGCAGGGTCCCCAGGAAAGCTGGGTCTGCCCAGCAGAGGGCCCAGGGTAGGCGGTGCTGGGTGCCAGCACGGGGACACCGTGCTACGGGGCCCCTGGAGGAAGCTGCGGGGGGGCGAGAAAGCCCTGGCTGTTGGGGAGGGTGCCAGACTCACGTCCTCGGAGGGACGGGACAGTCCATAAAACTCCTGGCCAGCATTCCTCAACTGTCAGTCACGAAAACCAAGAGCAGTCAGAAAGTGCCGCAGCCAGGAGGTACCCAGGAGACACGAGGACTCAGCGCCTGTGGACCTGAACCCACTGTGGACTTTGGCTTGTGATACTGTCGCTAAGGGCTCCCCGCCAGTGACAAATACAGGTGTGACGGGGGTGGGGTGGAGGAGGTGGGGGTGGAGCAGACTGGAACGCCGTCTTCCTTCCCTCACAGTAACTACAATACACCTACAGCTGTTCTAAAGGCAACGTTTACTCTTTTAAAATGAAAGAGCACGCGAGCCTGGAGCCCTGGTTATGTGGGTGGGAGATGGGGGTGGGGGCCCCAGAGCAGGAAACCTGAGGGCACCGCTACCTTGTGTGTCTCTGTGCCTTGGGGGTCATCCCCTGGGAGTGGGGGTGGTGACGGTGCGGGGGGGAGGCGGGTGGTCAGAACAGTGGACAGGCCTTGAAGCAGTCTCGGTGGGGCCGGTAAACAGCAGGGCGACCAGCAAGCCCCACGTGCCCCAACAAGGAGCCGTTGTGACTGGCTGGGAGGGAGGCACGGCAGCGGTGTCCACCTCCTCCGGACGCATGTCCACACGGGTCCACACCCTTTGCAAACCACAGGGTACTTTTCCACCGTTGGGGAGTGACGCGGGAGGACACAGCCCTCCTCACATTTCAGGCCTGTTGAGGAGCCTCATTGTGGGCTCCCCGCTGCAGGCTCCTGTACCCCACCAGCAGAGACAGCTGATTCAGGGTTCGAGACCACCCCTCAAGGGTTTTGAGGCAAAAGAGTTCAAGTTCCAAAGAGCTGGCCTACTGTCCCCAGGCAGACGCGTACCAGGGCTGGGCTGTGGTCTCACTGAACGCCTGCAGGGAGAGAGGCTGGGGTGCCGCCTGGGCCCTGCCATGACTCGGGGAGCGCCGCTGCTGTCTGGGCCTGTGTCCCATGTGTACAGCGGAGATGTCGCACTGGACCGTGGGTTTCAAGCTGGGTCTCTGGGTGCTCAGAGCGGGGCCAAGTGCTGTTATTAGTTTACATATAGGAACTTCCTGTATGAATGAGTCCAGTGGGGGATGGGGTCCTGTGCTGAAAACATCCACAGGTCTGTAAGTCCAGGAGCCAGCTGCTGGCCGCGCCTCCGCCGAGGCAGGGGGGCACTGCACTCGGAAACTGCCCAGGGCCCCTCAGGGACTGCTGGGGAGGGACCCTGCCCATCACGCCCCCAGCCCACCTCGTGGTTCTTAAGACATTACAGAAATTAATCAGATGCTGAGACAACGGGAACAGCAGCACGTGGCAGGTGGGACAGGTGTCCTTGGAGGGGTGCACCCTCAGGGTGGCTCCCTAGCTCTCCCTCTGGTCTTTACAGAACCACAGACAGTGAGGTGGCAGGGGCCGGGCAAGACCCACGAGCCCCCAGGCAGAGCTCGCTCGGTGCCCGTCTGTGTCCCTGACGGGGCTCAGGAGCTGGAGGCCGCTGTGGGCTCCTCTGGGGTTCTGACTGACCATGGGAGTGATGCCCGACTTTCCCCAAGTGGGGCTTACCTCTGGGGTTTGACAAAGCTTGCCCTCTGAGCACCCCACACAGCCCTCCATCTCAGGGCCACAGGCCTGTCGGGGACATGGCTGCTTCTATGCAAACACCCCCCTGCGCTTGCCAGGGAAGCAAAGCCACACTGTCCAAACTGCGTCACAGTCAGTCTGGCCGGTGGCCTGAGTGCCCCGGATGGAGCCCACAGAATGCCCTGTGGACGTGCCTGTTCCACAGCACAGCTGTGGCCTCCAGGCACCCGTCCCGGAGGCCCACACAGGCCCACGGCTTTCCTGCGCCCCATACGCAAGCCTCTACATGCACGTGCGTGCACGATACAGCTTCCCACTGCCTGGGTGCCCAAGGAGAGCAGCAGGTCATGGGGGCACAGCCCCACTCCCCACAAACAGCACGGTCCAAAGGTGCCTTCCAAAGGGAGCTTTATTCCTTTACGTGGTCAAAGCAGAGAAGGGTCACCTGCGTCCAGATGGGACGGCACCCCCAGCATGCCCGCCCCTCCTGCAGGAGCACTTTGACAACAACCCTGGGAGCCTCTGATTGCTCTTTGGGTGGGAAATCCAGTTAGAAACAGCAGAGACTGGTGGGCTATGGATGGTTGGTAGGGTATGGAGAACACGGTGCTGCCCTCTGGCCTCCTTATGGCCACAGGAGGTCAAGAAAGGTCCATCAGCTTCCAGACCAGCAGTGGGCTCTGGGCCTAAGGTGCTGGCATGGGCGCTCCCACGGGAGAGCATGGGGCAAGGTGCTGTCTGCTTCCCCTTGGCCCTGGAGGCCCCCCACAGCACCATCCCTGAGCTGGCGGGCAGTGCCAGCTAGGTGGGCAAAGGGATGTCCTCCTCAGCTGCTGGGGACACAGAACAAGGAAGTCTGGCTGGAGGAGGGACCCAGACGTAGTCAGCTGAGTAGGCCGCCAGAGCCAGAACCCTCCGTCCTGCGGACGGGCTAGTTAGGAGCAGAGGCCACGCAGACTCAGGCAGGAAAGGCTGGCGCGCTCATCCCACCCTCTTTGACCTGCTCTGAGCATCAAGTCTGTGCCCCCAGCTCACAAGATGCTTCCTGTGAAGCTCCTAGAAACTTCTGCTTCCTGCAAACGGCCTTGCTGCATGAGAGGCCTTAATGGCTGAGCAGACACATGGTCACATGGCCCCT